TGTAAGTATTTATAATAAAAAATAAATATAAAATATTAACTAATTAAAACATTAGAATACTAAATATATTTTATAATACAAATTATAAATTATTTTGACTGTTTAGGTTAAATCGGCTAATCAATCACATAGACCAATCATTTTGGACTTATTTTGGATTGGAACAACTACTTAAAAAATAGTTGTAATTCGAATGCATATTTATATTAGGCCGATTGCACGTTAGTGACAGGCGTAAGGAACTATATAAATTAATCCACATCTGAAATAAAATTTTGGTACGAATATTTTCTGATTCAGTTAACTATTCGGTAACTTTAAATTTTTGGATATTTCAATTTGATGTCGGATGTATTTATAAAAATAACCAAATCGATCGAAATATATAACCATATGTTTAAAATTCACATTAGTTTTTGAAGTGCTTGTGTACACACACTATTGTGCAATTTATTTATCAGTATTGTGCAATCACTAAAATTTTAATAGTTTCATATAAAATGATAATATAATCTTAATGTGCATATGTACACCCCATAGCCATAATGTGCAATTTACTCATTAATATAAGGTATTTATCAAAGTTTAATAAATTACAAATTGAACCCATGTACTCAACTGAAAAATAGTAAACTTTATTTTCAATTTGCATATTAGTCCTCAAGCATTATCAAATTTTAAAAAGGAAGTCCCTTAGCCCCTAAATCACAGTAACCTCCGGCGGCCAGTTCCTGCCACCTCTCTGCCACACAGGGCCATCGCCACCGGAGCTTCCCAGCACCACGGTCACCGCCGGACCCTCCTGCTCTGCCTCCGCGCAGACCTTGGCACACGTAGCAGAACGCATCTGCTCTCCCACTCCTCCGCCGTTCTCCGGGAACCGTCGACGACGTAGATGCCCTCCGTCGACCACCTCTGCTCGCTAACGTCTCTTTGCCCAAACGCACTTTGACGAGATCTGCCAGGAGGTTGGTTGTAAATAGCCATGGAGGACGACGACATGAGACTGGTTACAGTGGCGGAGCTGGTTTCGCCGGTGTTTCGTCGAAGGATAAACACGACTTGCCGGCGTGAAGCTTGGACGGAGGCTGGTTGGTGGCTTTCTGCGATAGAATGAACCATCGTGTTTGTGGCGGACGGCGGTTGTCCCTGGTGGCGGACGGCGGTTGTCCCTGGTGGCGGCGGAGCTGCGTCGGATGTCGGAGATGGTGGCATGTTGGGATCTGTGAGGATCTCGTTATGTACAAGTCACAAATTCAATAGCAAACGTAAACCTATGCGCAGCGGATCTAAAGGTTTGACGTAGAGAACTTACGGCTTAAAATTTATGTAGATCTGGTTGACCACGAACGGTTGACCGCAATTAATTGACCGCAAATCACGTCTTGGGTTGCACGAACAAGATCAAATCAAAACCAGATCAAACGGATGCAAACAGATCAAAAAGAAATTTTGTAGCCTGGGAGCTTGCGACGGCGCGTGAGACGTCGGACGGCTGCGATCTCAGCGGCGATGGAAAGCTCTCATCGAGACGGTCGTCTGGGTATGCTGTACGTCTCAATTGTACTTCTTGTTAGTTCTGTAGGTCAAAATATATTTCGTCTCGGTTTACCTACAGATCTTCTACTGTATTACTCAATACACCCTTCTTCAACTTGTACCAGTGGAGCAACAAGAAGAAGATAAAGCTCAAATGAGATCTAGAGAGAGAGAGGCGTGTGAGGCGTGTATCTCGTGTGAATGAGACTTCTGTTATCTTCTCATGAGCTTAATGATGTATATATAGAGCTACAGTAGGGACCCTTAGGAGATTAGGAAAATGACTCCTTAATTAATTAGACTAACTGTGGGCCAAGTCCACTCCTCTAATTAATTAAATAATATTAATGGGCCACCAACATTATATTATTGCACTCCCTTTTTCTAGCCTAAATTACATTTGAGACTCCAATAATAATTACTCGATTTACCTCCCCACGTTTAAGATATAATGTCCATTAATTAATTCGATTACTGAAAATCAAGAATTAATTAATTTATTATTATTTCACCGAAGCTAGCGCTCGTCCATCACATTCTTATTATGCCGGAACTTAATCCACCTGCAGGATTTAGCATAACAATCCTTCATGAACTCACTCCGGGGACATCATCAAACTAACGCACATGGTGACCGTAAATATCCTAACATCACATCTTATATATAATAATATTACCCAAAACAGTATGAATATTATTCCAGTGAACTGAACCTCACCCATGTGAATCAAAGTAATATATATTATATATATCTGCATGTTTAATATCTTACGGGTTAAGAGAACGCAGTAATTAACCGAGACCTAGTTCATTTACGATGATCAGTATAAAATGAACTTCTCCTCTCTAGGATCCTGTTCAATACATAATTGTACTAGTGCAACTAATCAGTCAAGACAAACTGTACAGTTGATACTACAACCGTTCAGATGGGTGTTCATGTCCATCTAGGTTGTGAACAACTATTCTTGTTCGCAAGTGACTGATAGAGTGATCTTCGGTTCGCCTGATGACGACCCACCCTATCTAAGTGCAGAACAACAGAACGTAGAACTTGTTTAATCTAACATTATTCTCATTCATAAAGGTTAAATGTTTAATAACATGCAAAGCCAAGCTTTCAGTATATAACACTAACAGGCGGGTGGTGGCGAGCTTCATTTTCCGATGGGGGAACTCAGGAGACGCAAGAGCTTCATTAATGGAGATGTGTGTGTGTGTGTGTGTGTGTATGTGAGAGAGAAATGGAAGATTGGTGGAGTGGAGGTGGGGCCCGCATGTAATGTTTATGCACATAGGTAATTACCACTTTGCCTTATTTAATGGTTGAATGCGTAATTTGACCCTAAACTGTATACTTATTCATGAAATTGCCATCATATATTTTAACACCAATATTTAATTTTTTTATTTAATCTTGACCATTGATACGTTGGATCCAAAGGTGTATAATTATATTCATTTCATTGACTATCTACCATTTTCATATGATCCCAACTCTCTCTCTCTCTCTCTCTCTCTCTCTCTCTTTATATATATATATATATAAAGAAGAGAAACATAACATTTAATTATATTATCATGCATTAAATTTTATTATCTCTCCAAAATTTTCAACATTCAATTTCATTTTTAAGTTACAAAATAACTTGCTTGAATGCCATAAATTATGAGCATAAACCAATCAAGGGAGTTACAAAATTGTACTCAAATTTTAAGTCACCCACTCATGAAAACGACTGGATGTATGGTTGTAACGACTCTTCCATAACAATTACTTGATCAAAATCAATTTTGAGAATTATTTTCTTAATTCATATTTTTTCATGAATTAAATTATGATTTTTTTTTTATTGTTATCTTTTTAAAGTATTCTTCTCTGTGCAAATGCACAGCTTGATTACTAGTATATATATAATTACTAGTTTAGGATTTAATTTTATCTATTTAATAAAACTTTCAAAATTTTCCTGCCTAAAGTAGTTACCATAAATATTTCATCCTTTATCCAATCTTTTTTAATACAAACCGTTACTTTTTTCCTTGAACTTTTTATCCTACCTTATGATTTTTGGTAACCATCAATAATTGATTATCCAAAGTACTATTTAGTGCTAGACATTTTATCAATTTAAACCAAACATTGAAAACGCTCCTATGCATTGCAAGTAAGAGGAACACATGATTAATGATTTTAAATTTTATAATGATTAGCTTTTAAATATGTCAGCACCAATGAATTGAAATCTATATATATAAACTTTACAATTCATCATCATCATCATCATCATCATCATAATATTATTATTATTATTATTATTATTATTATTATTATTACTATTATTATTATTATTATTATTATTACTACATTAGTCCACCCTATCTATTAATGATAAAATAATTTTTGCACTTTTTTTAAATTCAGTTAAGACAAAAAATTGTATATTTTATATTAATTAAGTAATAATTATATTTTTTACTGTGTCATATAATAGTTATTATTAAAATTAATAGTTATATTTTACACTAAATGATATATGAAAGTTACATAAATATAAAAATTGTGTTGTAATAACTTTTTGTTCAAGTTATTTATTCTAAAATTAATATTATATTTTTTTATTTGATTAAGCGATTGTTTTAAATAAATTAATCTATTTTAGTTTCATACTAAAATCTCTTAAAATCGCATAAGCAATTGTTATAATAAATTTAATATTTTTCAGCTAATTAATTGGTCATGATCCCTCAAAATTATAAAAATTACATTATTCATACATTTGTGCAATCAATATAGTGATTTATATGCAATCAAATTGTTATGTAATATTTATTTTAACCACGATCAAATTTTATAACATAATATCATTATCTAACTTATAATTTTAATATTATATGCATTTAAATTATAATTTAAATATTATATGCATTCAAATAACTTATAATACTTTCTTTATATTTGTGCAAATGCACAAGGCCGAATACTAGTTATAAATTTATAGTTAACCAACTCGTTCACCTAGCACATTTATTTCATATAGTGAACGATTATTTTGTCCCTAATACAAATACAATAGTATACTCACTAATTCAACCATCAGAAATTTCCGTACAAATAGAAATTCTGGTTATAATGAAAATAACACCAAGAGTTATCTTTATTTTTTCCCTTTTTTTACTATCATGGGTTTACTTCATCCTCTGCCATGATTATCTCTCTTTTTTTTTTTCAAATGAAAACCCAAATATATTAAAACTCAAACCAACGTACAACCGGTATCAACTGATTACAACGACATTCAATCTAACCAACTAGTTCGAATGAAAGGAGCACGGGTGAATCACCAAGTGAGACACTATCAAAGACCAACATGGTCACTAACCACTAGAAGAAAACAGGCCAAGCCGAGAAACAACAAAAAACAAATTCAAATTTTATATCCTGAAGATCATGAAAAACTTGTAGCAAACAAGGCACAAAACTGCATAGAGAGTTTAGATTCATCACTACTTGTTCGTCTTGTAGATTGCATTGCCATTCTTTTTGCTTCAGTCACACTCAGAGCCCACCTAGCTGCTAACGCTATGGATTCTTCTTGGTTTTCCATCTCAATTCCAGCAGTCTGTCATGAATGAATCTTAGCTCCTTTTGCCACAGCTATCCAGTGAACATAGAGCAATGACTCGTAGGATCACAAGCTCCTTCTTGGTTACTCAGTAATTACTTTTTTGATCCATCTCCTTCTAAATGGAATGATGTTTTGTTGTTCCACCCAGTCTCTTCTTGCACCTGCCACTACATCTAACTCCTTGAAAGATTCATTATTAAAAACTCTATTATTTTTTGCCCTCCAAAGTCTTCAAAGCAAACACACAGAAAGAGTAATCCTTTGTTGAAGCTTGATAAAGATGCTGTTGCTAAACACTTCTTCCCACCACCCTTTTAGAGATTTTGCCTTATCTTGCAAAGAAGACCATTCAAGACCCAACAACTTTCAACTTAAATTGGATTGAGGGCAGTCGTAGAACAAATGCCCAGTGTCTTCTTGAGCTTCCTCACAAAGTGTACAAGTGGTATCAACCTTCAGTCCTCTATCCAATAAGTGATTTTTTGTTCCCAGCAAACCCGAACAATTCTCACATGAAATTCTTGCGGGTTGGCAATACGGAAGCGTAAAATAAAGTACGGTACAGTCTGAATTATTTATACATGCCAACATAACATAAACATAAACAAATGTCCAGCTGACTCGGACACCACCACACCACCAAGCTTGACTCACGCTCCGGGCTGCACTCCATCACCTAAAAAGATAATAGTGTGGTCGTGAGTACTCATCCACTGTACTCCGCAAGAACCAACATGAATATATAGCACGTATAATCAAATATCATAAACTCAACATATATATAAATAAAACTGTATTGTACTGGTGCGGACTACCGGTAACTGGCCGGTACTCAGGTGATCACGTTCTGGGGGTCGCCTCCCCAGAAACCTAGGATGACTCTACTGGGAGTCAAACTGTACTGGGCGAGTGACTCTACTGGGAGTCAACATAAGCTGGACCACGAACGGTTAAACTGGACCGTTCGGGTAAAACTTATCTACATACATACCTCATAAATGGTACAAGATTATAGGCAATGTAATACCCAGTGCAGGGCCCCCACCTGGTAATATTGAAAATCTGGCAAGTGCTCGAGAAACTATAGTAGCTTTTGGAGGATCGACTCTCCTTAAGCTACATAAACATATAAGCAAATAATTGCTAAGTATGAAGGCTTGGAACGTTTAATTATATGCTAAAATGCTCGATTCTATCTGATCAATTAATCTGGACTAGTTTGGCTCAGAAAATACTAAAATTTCGGAATGAGACTCGGACCGGAAACACAAACTAAAACGAACTCGAATCGCCAAA